GAGACTAAGGTCTCAGCAGCATTCTCTGGGATGGAGCTGGTGAGTGAAGAGATGGTAATTTCCGGGGCATTGTCATTCACATCCACCACCTCTATGAATACAGTGCCCTTCCCAGTGAGGCCTCCTCCATCAGTGGCCTCCATTTCCACACGGTAAGAAGTAACTTTCTCAAAGTCCAATGCCTTTTTCAGTCGAATTTCTCCCGTGATCTCATTTATTGAGAAAGTTTGCTTAATGTCATCTGATGCTTGGAAGAAGCCATAGGAAACACTCCCAAAGTTCCCATCATCTGCATCTTTGGCTAGCACGTTTAGAATCACAGAATCTGGTGGGCTGTTCTCCAGGACCCGCACCTCATATGGAGAGTGCACAAACTCGGGAGCATTGTCATTGACGTCCATGATCAGGACTCGAACCAAGACTGTGCCAGACCTAGGTGGAGTCCCACCATCCAGAGCCACAAGAGTTAAGCTGAGCTCAGCCTGTTCCTCGCGGTCCAGCGCTTTGTCCTGGACCAATTCTGGGTACTTCTTGCCTTCGCTATTATTTCGAGTGAGCACATAAAAGTGAGCATTGGGGCTGACTGTGTAGGTTTGAATCCCATTAATGCCCACATCCAAATCCTCTGCTAATGTTAATGGAAACAGAGTTCCTGGGTGGCTGTTTTCCGGTATTTTCAGGAGCACTTCCCTATCAGGAAAAACCGGGGCATGATCATTTATATCTTCAATCAGTAATTCTCCCTGAAAAAATTGCACTGGCATTTCCAGGGACACTTGGAAACGCAACACACACGGTTCCTTCGGGCCACAGAACTCCTCCCGATCTAATTTCTCCCTTAGTAGCAAGTCTCCGTTCTGAGGGTCCAGCAGCAAATGCTGTTTATAATCGTCAGACACCACCCTGGCAGATCGGGAAGCCAATTCCCCAAGTGCCATGCCGAGATCTTTGGTAAGACTGGCTACAAAGGAACCGCTTTCTGTTTCTTCTGGCACAGAAAATCGCATGGGCTCCGGGCGAACAAAAGACACAAACAGCATAACAACAAAGAGCCTCACTTGCCTGTTTGAGAGAATCATCTCTACCTTCTCCATGTTGGAGTCTGATGCTGGCATTCAATCCCTTCTGCCGCTGCTGAGGAAATGCTGGAGATGTATTATGATTTCTTGTTTGGCTGAATCATCAGAAAGTGGCTTTTCTCCACCAATTCTTTGGTATACGTTCGACCAACTCCGTTTATAGCCTCTCTCAACGCTTCTGTATTTGACTGTGTATTACAGTGTAAAGGAATACCGGCGCTTTTTAGGGCTGTTTATTCGGAATCTTAGCCTGCAGCGCCACCCTGCGTCCTGATTGAGAAATGAATCCGAGATATTCAAGTAAAATGACCTTTTGCAAGTTTCTGATTGAATATAGACCTGTTACAGCAACTATAGTTAGTACTATACATCTGGCAGTTTCTCTGTGTTCTGCGCTTAATGAAATAACTAAATAAAGGACATTTTGGATGTGGGTGTGATGGCAGGAGGTTCTTCAGGCTAGCCAAGGAGGCCAGCCTTGTCTGTACAGTAAGACCCTGTCTCAAAAAGAAATAAAAGCCTAAGAAAGTTATTTTCATACCTCCCCCATAGTATAACCCCTGTTTTTCACTGCATGTGATGTTGGTATAATTTGTGGAGGAGAAGAGCAAAAACAAATCGTTTAAATAGGGATACAGATGGACCCATGGCAACAATGAGATGTACAAATCGTTATGTGACAAAACGAACTTTACAACTTTGGCCAGGGGTGGAGGTGGGGGAAGTGGGTGGTTGGGAGATGGGAAGGGATGTGAAGGGGAAAAAAAGGAGAAGGCAACAATGCTTGATATGAAATGTACTCATTACCTTGCCCATGTAATTGTAACCCCTCTATATGGTATTTTCACAATAAAAAAATAATTAACCAAAAAATAGAAAAGAAAAATTTGATTTAATGTACACATAAGTGAAGACAACTTTCAACCAAGTATAAGATATAATGGTTTCTTGCCATGAGATTTAGACCATTATCTTTTCTATATTTGTAATTTTTTTACTTAACCTACAATGTATACATTCAGTTTATCTATATTACTAATAATCATTTCATGTGAATCACTGATTGGATCTGCAGTTGAGTATATAGCTTGGTGGTACAGTGCTTGCATGCCCATTGCAAAGCCTCAACAACAACAATAAAACACACTCATTAGTTACATCTATTTTGTCCTCAAATTATAAATGACCCTTCCAAGTGTAGTGGCCTGGGAAAGAATTACCTCCTCTTTACTTGCCACAATTAAATAATTCCCATGGCAGTGGCAGCCAAAAAGGATGTTTTAAACTGAAGACTTGACCTTTTTCCTTATCTTTATAAGAATAGAAAAGTATTAAAAGAAGAAAAAGATCTGCCTAAAAAACCCATATTCAAGAATGCCTTTAAAGTAGTTTGAATGAATAGAAAAAATTATTTTTGATTATTAAGGACTTGTGTATCTGATTTTCAGTTATATACAATGACAGGTATTTTGTTCTGGGTAGAGAACCAAGGAACTCTTGCACACTAGGAATAAATTTCATACTTTACCATTGATCTGTATGCCCCACCCAGCAACATATTTATATAGCACTAACTGCAGTTTATGTATGCTTAAAGAAATGCTACTCTTTTTCCTCATGGAGAGTTTCAAAAAAACTTTGAGAATTTCCATTCTTTTTTAGTCATTATATTAAATTTCTGGAACATGATGATACCTATGAGAATAAAACTTATTTTCCTAATGCATTTCTTTAATTAAAGAATAATATTATATGACAGTATTTTTCCAATTCCATGCAAAATAAGATTTGTTGTTTCGAGATTTTATTCTTAGCTGTGGTTAACTTAGACTTTCATGATATTGCTCTCTTTCCTTTGGTATTTTTTTTTCATTTTATTTTATTTGTTTTTGTGAACATACTGTACAGAGGGGTTACAATTACATGGGCAGGATAATGCGTACATTTCTTATCAAGCATT